GCCGCGCACCCTTAAGCGCGCACCCCCTTTCCTACGCAGGGCTGTGCTCTCCACACCCCTTCTCCCCGCTTCACAGCGGAATCTGGCTCCCCACTGGCCGAGCTCCCAGCTGAGGCCAGAGAGTTGAGGGTAAGAGGGCAGGAAAAACTAAATTTGCTTAGGGTCCTGGAAGCTGGGCAGGGTCGAAGCAGGAAAGAATAAATGGTCCTTGTGCGGGCAGAGTCCCCACTGCCGTCCCTGGCGTTTGCGCCTGGACAGATGGAACACAGCAAGCCGAGGGATGTGGGGGAGGATCTGAGGCCCATGGGTGGGCGGGGGAGAAGCCCGGTCCCGCTCTCCCACCCCGCGGGAAAGGGACCCTCTGGAGTTAGCGGGGGTCGCCCTGCCCACCCTGGCACACGCCAGCACCATTGTCATTCCCGCTCCCTCCCGACTCAGATCCCGAAGGAGAACACGGGTATCTGCTCCAGCGCTTTTAAATAGGGGTATTGTCCCCACTCCACCTCTCGCTACTTCTGCCTGCGAACAAAGGCCCCAAGCCTCCGGTCTTCGCACCGACAGGTCCTTCGGGGGAGAAAGGGCCGGGGAATGGAACGCCAAAACAGGAGCTGGACTCTCCCACCACCGCACGACCGATGCCTGGAGAAATTCAAGTGTTCCCATACGAAGAGCGCGTGAGACCCATACGAAAAGCCGGAACACGCCCATAGATTTCTCTCCCTCCAGGACAACTGCTTTACAGGTATGTACCCCTCCGCCTGAATTAGGTATGGCGCCTGAAGTGGCTTCTGGAGTCCACTTCGCCTGGAATTCTGGCTCCGGGTTTCCCGGCTGATCTCAGGTAAGTGCCTTAACGATTCTGTGCCTCAGTTTCCTCCCTCTGTAAAACAGGGATAAAAGTCATTCCCCCATTGTCGGGTGAACTGTGAGCATGAAAAGAGGTGACTTTTGTGGGGTGCTTAACCGAGCGCCTGGCACGTGCACGTGCCTCTCTATGCCAGCTATTTTTATTATTGTTGTTACGTGTACTTTGAACGCCGACATCTGCAACATATACATCTTGATTATACGCATCTTGATTGTAAAACAACCAAATGCATCTACATCCGGAACTGTCTGGCGCATGCACTTCGAAATCTAAATTGGAAGAGACGTCTGCAGATGGAGCACGCACAAGCACACGCACACACACGCATCTCCTTGTGACACCTGCAGGTCCTCCGGCCCGGAGCGCCGGCACCCAAAGAGCTACCCTTGAGTACGCACATCTACAGCTCTGTGTATTAGAGCCCACGACGCGGCCTGGCACCCACACCCAGCAGCCTCTCGCTTGGCTGGTTGCCGCGAGGTCGAATTTGGAAACCAGCGAGGCAGAAAGCGCGCGGATGCCAAGCGTGTCAAGCCGCTTGCAGCGCCCGAAGGCGGCTCCCTGTCTGCTGGCTTAGGGGAAAGGTCAGAACAAGGGTTTTCCTTCTTGGAAGGATTTTTTTTTTTTTTTTTTTTGAGGGCCTACGCGCCGGGAACTTTCCCCACAAAGAAAGAGTGGGTTCCGGGCCCGCGCAGACCCAGAGGGAGGCCGCGCGCGCGCGCGCACATACACACACACACACATACACGCACACACGGACGCACGCCCGCGTGCACACACCCCGCTCCTACGGGCTTGCGGGACCCGGGAGGAGGGAGCGCACAGGGTCGTGACCCCTGCCTCTGCCGGAGCGCGCCCTTCGGCCCCTGCAATTAGCGCCGGGAGGTCAGCAGGAACCCGGACGCCTTTACCCGCGGCTCAAAGCACAGCAAAAGGCGACCCCACCCCCGCCCCTCCGCCGGCCTCAGACGCCTGCGCGCAGCCAGGCTTGGAGCCGACCTCCCCCAGGGGCGGGGGCCACAGGGCTCCCGCCGGCACCCGCATTTGTCACCTTAAATCTACAAATCACCAAGTCGCTCGGCCCTGCAGGCTGCCGCAGCTGACCCTCGCCGGGGCCCCTACGGACTGCTGCTCCCTCGAGCGGCGGCCTTTGTCCCTGTAGACGCGGCCAGGGTAAAATCCGAAACGTTCCAGAGTTCTAAAGAAAGACAGAGAGCGCACCCAGGCAAAGGGAAGTCGCATCCAGCGTAGAATGTGAATTATGTAATTTGGAGGAGGGAATCCTTCCTCCATCTGCCCACCGAGAACACACAGGTTATCCCCTGCCCGGCTGGGTCGGGGCGGGGCGGGGGGGGGGGGAACTGCTGGGGATTTCTACGCCAAGCAGCAGGGTGCTTGGCCAGAAAATGATGAGAGGGTCCCCTCCGGAATTTCCTTACTCTCTTTGGAAACCCAAAGACGGGAAAAACTGTTTTTCTCATCTGGGGCCCAAAGAGGAGTGAAAGTGATATCCAGGAAAGAGACCACTGTTTCTTCCGATGCTTGGGAGGTGGGGAGGGGGGGGGGTCCAAGAAGGAGGGGAGCGCCGGCTGGGGTGGGGAGGATGAGAAAGGGCAAAGGTGAAACGCCCAAGGTCCGGAACCCGGGAGGCGCAGGAATGCCGAGCCAGCGGCGGCGACCTGGGCGCATTCGTGGGCCAGACAGATAGGTGGCACTCGAAGCCCGGAAAAAAGCCGAAGGCGCCTGCCCCGAGTGGCCTCCACGGCGGCTGCCGCCACCATAAAGCCCGCGGCGAGATTGCGACCGGCGCCAGGTGAGTAATAGGCAACGAAATCCAGAGATTGCGAGCGGTTCACCCCCCGTCCATCAGCGCCACCAGAGTTACTCATTAACATCACTACATACAAATAAGATACACAAGAGATTAAAGGGGTGGGGGGGAGCTGTAGGAGAGACTGGCAACTCGTCTGAGCACTGTCCGAGAATTTGGGGAGGGGGAGCGGATGTGGGCTGGGAGAGAAAAGCCTTCCTTCCCTCTCCCAGGCCAAGGCTCTTTGCTCCCCGAATCGAGAGGGATAGCGCGCTGGGCACACCTTGCCCACGGCCACCTTCCAGGGGCGCAGCCTCCGCGCGCAACCCCTGGGCCCAGAGCCCGCCGCAGTAGCGCGCACCCTGCAATTCTCCCGGCCCTCGGGGAAGCTAGGGCCCCAAAGGTCCCCCGGCCCTACAAGCCCCATCTCCCCCCCTCCCCCGTTGTTTGCCCTCTCACCCGGGGAGACAGCCCTGGAGAGGGTGTGGGGCTCCCCACGTGCCTGGCTGCAGATGCAAGGGGCTCGGCCCCCCTCTCCAAAAGGTCCCGACCTCGATCCCCTTGCAAGTCCAGGATGGGGGGGGGATCCTCCTCGCCGGCTATTCAAGAGGCCCGAAGGTGACAGGGACTTGGGGCCGGGCTGGCGGGCTCCAGGGAGGGGAGGAGGGAGGCAGCCGCCAGGCAGGCTCCGGCTGGGTCCTCACGTCACGGCCCCCAGGGCAAGAAAAGGCCTCGAGAACCTTCCCTTGCCCCCTCCCCACCCCACCCCCGCACAAATACACCTCCTCTGGGGGTGGGGACAGCTAGGAGACCAAAAGACGGTCACGGTCTCACTCTTTTTTTTTATTCAATGTTTCAATAATAAATTGAGCTTCAAAAGGCAACTCCCCGAACAGCCTGGAGGCTGGCTGGAGGGGAGGGCTGGAAGAGGGTATCAGCCTCCTGGGGGACTTTTCCCTGGGAGGGGGTCAGCGACGCGCCCTGGAATTACCTTTCCCTTGCGGGGAGAACCCGCCTCCTCCCTCGCGCGACATAGCTAAGTCCGCGCGGAGCTGCCCGCGCTCCGCACGCGCGCTGGGGCGCTCAGGTCAGCGGGGTCCAGGCGGAGACACCGGGGACCGCGGGGGGACGTTCAGGCCCGGCCGCTTCTCCCACAACCCGGAGGGTCGCTTCCTTGCCAAGCCGGGTCTGGCGGCGAGGAGATCCTGCCCCTTCCCTCCCCCCCGCCTTTTTTTTGCACCCTGGTGCAAGAAGATAGTTTTGCCTTGCGTTTCCCATGTCGACGTGAAAAGGGAGAGCGAGCCTAAAACGAAAACGTCCGCAGTCCTCGAAACGTATTTTTGGTCGGACTCGTGTGGGAACCACGGACTTAGGGGACCAGAGCATTCTTTTTCCATTAAAACTTAAGTATCTGAAATTGCTATTCTACCCAATTCTAATCAGCCCTCTTTCCGTCTCGCGTTTTGCTCCCTAATTTAAAGGAAAAGTAATTTCAGATTGAAGCAGCTCCCTTCGCCCCAGTAAGGGACTTTTGTTTCTAGCTTTGTAACTTGAGTGACAGCTCATTTGGGTTCCGTGGGGGCGGTCTTAATTACTCAAAGGCAAGAGAAGAGGGTTAGAGGAAGCAAGCAAGGACAGAAAGACTCCTCTTGCAGGAAAGTTTTCTAAAGAAAGCACTTAACACGAGGCCCAGAGACATTTCAATAAAAATTTATTGAAATTTCAATGTTTTAAAGAGAGGGGAAGAAATACAGAAAACCAAAGAACTCATCAACAATTATAACACAAAATATACCTTCATGAATTTTTGCCTTTAAACCATCTCTCAGCACCTGATTTGTGAACTGTGAATCTCTCTCTATAGGCACCAATTCAAAACACCATCAATATTGAAGACAGTAGTCAATTCCACTTCGTTTTGAAGAAATCAGACTAGCAAATACAAATACAAAAGAAAAATTAGAAAGTCAAACCACAGCCTCTGCACTCCCCACCCCACCCCGCCCCCCAAGCAATCTCAGAACCACACTTGGGGTGTTATATTTTAAGGAATTTAAGGTGAGCTGGGATGTGGCACCACCTCCCCAGTTTGGGGTTTAACAGGCAATGGCACTTTGCCCCACTCTTGGAAACTAAAAAAGGAATTTTTTTTTTTTTTTTTTTTTTTGCGCAGACAACTCTTTTGAAAGTGTGTTGGTGTCGGTGCAGAAAGTGTGTTTTCTAGTTTTAAAAGCGATCCTGTGACCTTGAAATAAAATTGATGAAAGGAAAACAATAACACAAAACCTGATAGCTGCGACCCTATTTACATAGAGCTATGTACAACGTCAATAAATTAAAGTTTAATTTTCCAAGCATTCATATTCCACCTATTTACAAGGGTTATCAAATAATTACATAAATACTTTGTCTAATAGTCTTGCTTCTTCTTTATTATTTTTCTTAAAACCTTGTTATTGCATATACAGGAAAGAGAGAGAACTGCCAAAGGAGGACATAAATCCTGCTACAGAGCTTAGATAAAATAAATTCATTTTTTGTGTTTTCCCCACCCTTTCCCTCTAAAACCTCCCCCTTGGGGTTGCCGACTGGAGGGTAGAGAAGGGGGGGGAGAAAGGTGTGGGGTCATGTTCTTTTCTCTCTAAAAGCAAGCATTCAAAATAAAAACCACAAATACATTACTGTGGAACATGCAAGAAGAGACCTATAGCGGCTCTTAAAACATCACAAGAATATTAAAAAGACACAGATTTCCTTAATAGAGACCAAACAAGGATGGCAAGGACTTCCCTCCCCAAACAATGCTGCTCAGTAATTTATTTAGAACTGATATGCAAGTCACTATAAAGTTTTTAATCTTCACAAACAGAATCATGTTAATGTATTCATTTGTCCCCAGTATTTTTTTTTTTTAATTTTGTTTTTGTTTCTACTTGACACGGTGAAGGAAAAAATATATAAATCTGCAATGGGGGAGAAGCCTTTCAACACCTCCCCTCCTGGTGGGCCTGGCTACCTTTTTCTTCCCACAGCTCCCAGACCAGCCTGGCTGGAGGTGCTCTGGCCATAAATGTTTTCACTCCCACCCCAATAGCTCAATGCAACAGCCATTTCTGAGCCCCAGAATCTGAGCCAGATCCCGGATACATAAACCACGCCAAGAAGACAGGACCTGTTTCTAGCATATTCTCTAGAGGGGGTCCGGCACCCCTTCCCAGACAGGACTGCACAAAGGGCCAACCCCACCGCACGCCCGTGGTTTATTTTACATCCAACAAAGTGCACTGCAGACTGGACTGGACTGGACTGGAATGAAGAGATTTTTTTTCTAGGGAGGGGTTTATGGGGACCCGCTGCGGGACCTGTCCGGCTTGGCTTCCAGGCCGCTGACCAACCGCTGGATGCTCTGCAGTTCGCTGGTGGCCGCCTCCTTCTCCGGGCAGAGTTTGGGCGACAAGGACACAGAGCTGGAGGAGAGCGTGGAGGAGCGGCTGTTGAGTTCCGAGCCTGAGTCCACGGCCACCGAGGCCGGGCTGGCGGCCAGCGCGGCGGCTTTGCCGTCCAGGGGCCCCGCGGCCGCCGCCATGGACGGCAGCGCGGTGGTGAGCAGGCTGCCGCTGTCCGGGACCGGCATGGGGATGGAGTACGGGCTGTAGCGCAGCCGCGGGCGCATGCTGTTCAGGTTGAGGAAGGGGTGGCGGTGCACGGAGCTGGAGGCCGCGGCCGAAGACGCCGCCGCCGCCGCGGCCATGTACGTGTAGGGGTAAGGGAACAGGCTTCCGAAGGGCGACATGGCCAGGCCCTGCGGGGAGGGGGCGGGGGAGGGGGAGAGAAACGGAGGCAGTGAATCAGCCGAGTAGGGGCTGCGCGATGGGGAGGAGCCAACCTGGTCCGTCCATCTCCCCCCTCCCCACCCCCAACCCCACCACCTCCACCTTGGGGCCTCTGGCAAGTCATTCATCGCTTGCGGGGTGGGGTGGGGGCGGGGGAACACTCAAACTTCCCTCTCTAGGTCCACTTGACTCCCTATGCCTCAGCTTTCTTATGGGGGAAAAAAAAAACCAGGGAAATACTAAATAGTTCATTTACTGATTTGATTGGGACTTTGGATATTAAACGAGCTAACCCCTGCAATGTGCTACACAGGGCACCTGGCCAATAGAACTGCTAGAAATTCTCCCACTGGGGGTCAGCTGCTGCACCTGTGAAATGGGGCTGCAGTCCAGTCCAGCCACAAAGAAGGTAGCTGAGTGAAAACCACCAGGGGGCATAAATTATGGGACATACATTTCTTTCATTCTTCCTCCCCCACCCCCAACACAGCCCTCCCACTCTAATTCCAGAAGTTTCTCAAATGAAAAAAAATCCAGAGAAGATCCTTAAGCTAAAGGAAATTGGGGGTGGCGGGTGCAAAAGGCATTCGCTCTAGAGAGAGACAAAGAAATCACCCAGCCTGATACACTGGTATTACAGGTGGAGAAACTGAGGTAGGCCCCAGGGGTGCAGGAAGTCCCTCAGTGGCAGAAGCAGAATTTAAAATGCAGGCACCCCAGCCTGGGCTAGTTCTCTGTCCCTTGTCTTGGGGTACCATTAATACTTGTGTGCCCAGGCAGCCCCTCGCCCACCTATCCACTGCCCACCTAGAACAAGGTCTCCAGGAGGGGCTCACAGAGAGGAGAGCAATGGGAAAAGGCCAGAAGCCAACCCTGTTCTCAGTTCCCTCCTCCCCCCCCAGAGGGGAGGACAACCCTGCTTCTTGGCTCAGAGAAGGGAGACGAATGTGCTCAGACAAAACAAAGGCAAGGGCGTGCAGAAAACTCCACAGAACCTTTTCGCCCGGTTCAGAGCGTTTCCAGGGGCCGGGGACTTTTCCCCGGCTGCCCTGCCCCCCAGCACAGCTGTCTGAACCACACAGAGGCTGCCAGGCCTGCCACAGCCGAAGCCTGCCCCTATCCTCTGACATCTCCCACACGGGCACAAACCGTTAACCCTTTGGGGGACAGGGGACAAGCTTCCCCCTGGGAGGAAAGGGTCAAGACTCAACTCCCACCCAAGGACAGTCAGCACCCCGCCCCCGACCTCGGTCTCCCTCTTGTCTGATTCCTGGTGGCTGGTTGGCTAGGAGCCAGTTCAGAGATAAGAGACATTCCCACTTTGAAGCTAAAATCAGAGACCCTGAAAAGGCCCTGGAGTCAGACCGCCTGGGGTTGAGTCTCTGCGGCACCACTTACCAGCTGTGTGACTTTGGTTAAGTTATTCAACGTCTCTGGGCCTCCGCCACTTCATTTATAAAGTGGAGGTGACAAATAGGGCCACTGGAGTCAGAACAGACCAAGTGCCACGTAAATGCTAGGTGTAGCTTCATGATCACTATTACTACCTAGCTACTCTACTAGAAACAGCCCTGAACTAAAAAAAAAAAAAGAAAATTTTTTTTTTAAGCTTTTGGGAGGAGTGTGAGGTTATGCTGAGTCAATGAGGTAACCCTTGACCTAGCAATTATTACTAGTACCACCACCATTATTATTATTCAAAGCTCCTCGGCGAGGGGCCCTGGGTGAGGGTCTGGGATCCCAGGGCTGGGAAACCAGAGCGAATGGAGAGAGGGTCTGGACCGCCCGGGGGAAGACCCCTCATTACCTGAGAGGCCAGGACGTGCTGCTGGAGGTGGAAAGGCAGGGTGGCCGCCGACGCCCCCGACAGTCCCTGCGCCGCGGCGGCCGAAGCCATGGCCGTGGAATCCAGGCCCGAGACGCCGGTGGAGGCCCCGGACACGGTGGCCAGCAGGGGCCCCATGCCCGCCGCCATGCTGGAGAAGGCGCCCCCCATGGCGAACTGGCCGGGGTGCAGGAAGAGCGGGTGCCCGTTGAAGAACTGCTGGCCGGCCAGGCCGGGGGCGAAGCCGAGGCCCGGCAGGGGGCCCTGGCCCAGGTGCGCGGCGGCGGCGGCCGC